CTAAATTTGGACTTTAGCAATCCTGAAACTTTTTTGGTGTTTTATTGGGGTGATTTTTTTCTTACTGTCTCATGACAGTTGTTTTCCACCAACACCCTCCAGATTGAATCTTCCCTTATCACAAAGGAAACCAATTAAGCAAAAACACCTGATACACAGACTATGTTAGACAAGTATTCGACATTCTGTCCTAGGAGTCCACCATTTCACCCTCAAGGACAGGAGATACATTTCATTGTTTCTTCTCCAGGACCTTCAGTGGTTTTCCCATTATTCAGAGTTCAAATTGCCATCTTGGTCATCTTTTCATTTACAACATTGTAGTCATTCCAGAACCAAGAAGAAAAATGATTGCAAAAATATTAAGATAATTCAGTTCCTAAACACCTTCTTACGTTTTTCAGAATTCCGAGTATTTGTCATTTCAGACATGTAATATAACTTCAGACAATAATAGTCCATTACATTCAGATGCTATAGTTTTTTTCAGCCATTCCCCAATTGATGGGCACCCACTTTATTTCCAGGTTTTTAATTCATTGTGCTGCTATCATTTATCTTTACATTTCAGTTATCACCCTCCTAACTACATTGAACTCTTTCTTTTAATATGGAAACCTTGTTTGACAATGAATAAAAATATTCTGTCCTAGCAATCTTCCTTCTTCCCTCAACTTTCTGCCATAAAGCAGGAAATACATCTTGTTCTCTCTTCTCTAAAACCTTTGCTGTTTTTTCCCTAACTTCTTGTTTTCTTCGACTTCCTTTTGGTAAACTTTTCATTTTCATTGATGTAGTCTCATTCCGTATATCATTCTTCTGACTCTGGTCATTTAACTCAACAGTAGCTCTTATAAATTTTCCCATATTTCTTCAAATTTCTTGTATTTGTTGTTTTTCACTATACATCATATGTCCATACATTTTTTTTTTAGCTATTCCTCAACTGATATGCACCCCTTATGAAACCTGCTTTGTTCCCAGTTCTTTGCACCTCTTTCTTTGGAGCCTTATTAAAGAATGCAGCTATAAATATGTTATTATGTATTAGGCTTTTGTTTTTGTCTTTAATTATCTAGCAGTATTATGCACAGTAGTTGAATCCTTGACATTTTTAAAGGAGCATGCTACATACTCATTGTGTTGTCTGACCTTGCCTCCACTTTTTGTGTGTTTCTTTTAAAACTTTAAGTTAGTTGGAAAGGTCCCCTGTTTATCCACATCAGTCCTCAGACAACTCTCATTTTTTCTCTTCCTCAGAATTGTTTCACTTATTGTCTTCAAAATTTAATTCTTGACAGTTTCCTATCCCTTCTTGCATAACTTCTTATCTAGAATTTTAGTCAATGGAATCCTTCTACCTATCATTCCTTTGAAGACTTTGAAATTCTTTTCCCAAAATCTAGGATACAAGGTGACTATCTCCAACTTTCCCCTCCTCTCTCTTTTTTTTTTTTTGGTGAACAATCAGGGTTAAGTGACTTGCCCAGGGTCACACAGCTAGTGTTGAATGTCTGAGACCAGATTTGAACACAGGTCCTCCTGACTCCAAGGCCGGTGCTCTATCCACTGTGCCACCTAGTTGCTCCTTTCCCCTCCTCTTTTATGAACTCTTTTAAACAATGGTCACTTCTCTGTAAGGCTCCCAGCATTTCCACCTATGTCAAACCATTCTCTTCCTTATTAGTAAGAATTATGTTTCCCCCATTTTTTGGATGATCAAATGATTACTAAGGCAGGTCAAGATATTATTACCTATTTTGTTTTGGCAGAAAAATAGCTGCATCAGATGTCTGGATAACTAAAATCTCCTATCGTTGCTATGTGACCTATCATCTGGTGTGGAGAAGGTAGAGGGATGGGGAGGGCCCCTTTCCACAAGGGGCTCCTGCTGTGGATATGGAGCTCAACTCATTCTCCGGGTCAGCCCGAATGCAAAGAGAGGGCTCAGCTTGTTTCATCTCTCTCTTAGCTCATTATGCCCTTACCCAGAATAGAACTCTCTAAAACAGAGAACAAATTAGAAAATATCTAAAACAAGGGTTAAGTATGCCTCATATCCAGTCTTTCTTTCAAAAGGATTTAACCCTCTAAAAGAGGATATTGGATATCAATACTCAAGATAGACATTTAGTATACAGCCTACACCTGTGTTTTCACTGATATAGAGAAATCCCCAATGGGGGAACTCCTCGGTATTCCCAGGTAACCCTTTAAGACTGTCACTTGCTGAGAAAGTTAGTCTTAGAGAATTACTTAGAGTAATGAAAGGGTTACATAGCCACTATGAATAAGAGACTGGATTTGAACTCAGGTCTCCCTGACTCCAAGTCCAGTTCTACTCCCTACCTTGGGCTGCCTCTCATCAAGATATTAGACAGCTATCTCTTTCATCCATCACAAAAGAAACACTCACAAATTAAAACAGATTTATAGTCTTGTTTACATAACGATGGGGCTCCACTAATTATCCCAAAAAGAGTCAAGAACTCTTTTTGATTGCATCATTCTGAACTAAGGATGAAATCCCTTCTTGAATCCATGAAAGGCTTTGAGGCTTGGTCATGCCCTGAGGAGCTTGTCTAAAAAGGAGGAACTATTTCAGAGCTAGAGATCTCAGGAACTTGCTGAGGAGAGGAAAGAGTGTGATCACGATGAGAAGAAAAGCAGCCCCAGGCAAAGAAGGAAAGGAGAAAGAGAAGAGAGGATTAGATTGTGACACATAAAGGAGATATCAAAGGGCCATCAGTTACAAGGCATCTTGAAGTAGAAGATTCAGGATGCTTCAGACAGCTCCAAGAAAAAGGACTGTTTTTTCCCCAACTTCCGTTTATACATATAAATGCACTTGATTTTAACCCAAACATTTCTAGTGACCTGAATTTTGTTTCAACCATAAAAAGACTGGGGGTTAATTTTTATACATACGTACATATATATATATATATATATATATATATATATATAGACACATTTATTTAATAAATAAAGGCAGAGAACCAAATCTCTTCCTCAATGTTAGGAATCTTCCTAACTCAGGGCATGGGTCATTTCCAAGTATTATAGTCCTACCTTTTCATCTAAAATAAAACTTCCTTAAAGCCCCAGAGGGTGGATTCATGTGAATCTCAAGGGTCATTAGTTTTCCTCCAGGCATAAAACAAGCTAATTATTATAAAAGGATATTATATATGCATTAGTAAGTAAGATCCCATCATTGTCATCAGTATAATCTCCCCCAAAGGTAAAGTCACTTTGTGGGAACTGCTGAAGACATTGCATGTTCACTTTCTTGTCTGAGTAATTGATCTGATCCAAAGCCAGGGACTAGCCAGTTATGGCTCTATAGGCCTTTTCTGGTTCATTATGATGCTGTCAATCATTATCTTCTCCTCTGAGAAGTTGTCCAGTTGCAGGGAATACTTCACATTGTGCAACTAGCACCGACTGAAGAATCCAAGAACTCCTGAACTTAGGCAACAAGGCTGGAAATTTACACAACTGCTGTTTAATTGTTAATTGTCTCACAGCTGTTATTTTATTAATAACAAGGAAAGACACATACAGCAGAAGAGGCAGCCAGGAATTTGAGGTCTGAACTCAGGCACAATCTTTCATTGCTAAGTGCTTTGTAGCCACTATTATCTCTATGGCAGAGAGGAATATTTCTTGTTAGAAGCCAAAGAGAAACACAGAGTTCCAAAATGATGTGCTCAAAAGAAAGTGTAACCTCTCTGATCTCTTTGGAAAGGGGAGATTCTACCCTAAGAGTCCATTCCCATGGGACACTCAGTGACCAACCCTCTTTGACCCAGTCTTCAGGCATTGGATTCAATTAGGAGCTGTTGCCTCATCCCAAGGTGTAATTAATGTATGTAGTTTAGCAGGGGAAAAGCTCCATTAGAAGTGCTCCAATTCAGCCCTGATAGAACTATAGTGTACCTTCCTATGAGGTTTGTGATCTGCTTCCCAAACTGGTCTATTTTCTATTCCTGCCTCTTTGTTCCATCTATGTTTTCCTACCTAGTTCCTTTTTCCTCTCCTATCTTCTAAATTTCAAGCACTGTATTCTCAGTCCTCTTCTCTACACTCTCCCTCTCTTGGCAATCTAAGGGGCTCTCCTGGCTTAAACTGTTATAAAGTTGATTGGCAAGTCAGTAACTTGATTCCTAACCTCTCTCCTCATGGAGCCACAGGCTCACATTTACAACCAATTGCTGCTAAACATCTCCACCTAGAGGTCCCAATAATATCTGGAACTCATGTGCCAGAATAAACCATGACTCTCCAGATCATTTCTTTAGCCCGGCTTCTCAATTTTTGTTGATGGTATCCCAGTTACTTATTATGTTCAAAACTGTATAGTCTTTCTTCTTTGACTGATTCTCCTATAATTTATCAGTTGCCAAGTATTATAAATTCCATCTTTACCAATATCTCTTGAATCTGCCCCCTCTTTTCATTTTTCATTGTTACTACCTTAATTCATGACCTCTTTACTTCTTGCCTGGATTACTGTAATAGTAATCCAATTCTATAGCACTTTAAGGTTGACAAAGCACTTTATAAATATTATTTCATTCAAATCTCATAACAACCCTGGGAAGTAGGTACTATCTCCATTTTAAAGATTTAGAAACTGGGGTAGACAAAGGCTAAGTGACTTCCCAGGGTCACACAACTACAATATTCTTTAGGATGGAAATAAATATTCCACTAACCTAGCAGATGCACCTACGGTATTAATAGGCGGAAACAGGGAAATCAAACCTTTTTCTACCATCAATCCCCAATGAGTGGGATTAAAAGTCCTGAAAATTTCATCCCAGCCCTGACCACTTACTCCTAGAGTTTCCAGTTTTGTTAGAAAATTGTTGTCAGTTTGTGATATATCCCTAAAAAAAAAAGAGTATGAGGTTCTTGAAGATGGTGAGGGAAGGATGAATACTATCATTAGAAGAGAAGATGTCCACTTAATAGTCTTTTGGAAGTCTTCTTACCTGCATGCTTACTGCCTTTTCCGTTTCAAGGTGCTGGCATTGATTTGACTCTAGCTGTTTCGTTTGGTTTTCCCTTTTAATGACTTCGCTTAATAAACTACAAATAAAAAAAAATCAAAGCAAATTTGGCCAATTGAACAATTCCATTATAGCATAAAGCCTTCCTAAAGAAATAAATTTAATAAAATTTTTGTCTGGGAAAATTAATATTTTAGCTACATTTCAAAAAATATTAATTTTTTAGTTGATCAACAAACTATAGTAATGATGTCAGGGAACCAATAGTTTTTTTTTTACATCTATCATTCAAATGCTTTTAGCATCTCAACAAAAAATATTCCCTGTTTGAAATTCCTTGAAGCTGATCCAACATTATATTTAATAGAGTGTCATTTGCAAATGGATTTTTCTCAAGATGATAAATCTACCTATTTTATAGAAATTATAAAGGACAGAAAAATGATATTTCTAATTAATATATCTAATTTTAAAGAAATATTTTTAGGAACACAAACTGAAAAGTGTGGCTAATTCTCCTCTTTGTTCAGTGGGCTACTTCACCAAGGAAAAAGCCCAAATATACAAATAAATCTTATGGAACTTTTATCTGAATAATTAGTAATGTAGTAATTAAATAATTACTGTAATAAGTAATTTAGTAATAAAATAATCATTAATATAGTTTTATACACTCATATATAAAGCATTTTATACACTTTTTTCAGATTTTATTAATTTATTTATTTTTAGTTTTCAATACTCACTTCCACAAGATTTTGAGTTCCAAATTTTCTCCTCATCTTGCCCCTCCCCCCTCCCAAGATGGCATGCATTCTGAATGCCCTTTCCCCTAATCTGCCTTCCCTTCTATCTCCCCCTCCCCATTCTCTTATCCCCTTCCCCTTCAATTTTCCTGTAGGTCAGCATAGATTTCTATACCCCATTGCCTGTATATCTTATTTCCCAGCTACATGTGAAAACAATTTTTTAACATTTGTTTTTAAAACTTTGGGTTCCAAATTTTCTCCATTTCCTTTCTCCCCATCTACCTTCAATACAGGTTATACATGTGTAGTTATGCAAAACACTTCCATAGTAGTCATGTTATAAAAAACTAAGTATATTTCCCTTAATCCTATTCCACCTCCCATTTATTCTATTCTCTCTTTTGACATTATCTCTTAGAAGTGTTTGCTTCTCATTACCCCCTCCCCCAATCCGCCCTCCCCTCTATCATGCCCCTGCTCTCTTGTCCTCTTCTGCCCCTATTTTCCTATAGGGTAAGGTAGGTTTCCATACCCAATTGAGTGTGTATGTTATTCCCTCCTTAAGCCAAATCTGATGAGAATAAAATTCACTCATTTCCTCTCATTCCACTCATTCCTCCACTGTAAAAGCCTTTTCTTGTCTGTTTTATGTGAGATAATTTATCCCATTCTACCTCTCCCTTTCTCCTTCTCCCAGCATAATCCTCTCTCATTCCTTAATTTTATTCCCTAGATATCACTCCTTCATCTTCAACTCACCCTGTGCCCTCTATTTATCTGTTTATATACACATATACATATAATTTTTTCCTTCCAACTATCCTAATACTAACAAAGATCTCATGAGTTACAAATATCATCTTTCTATGCAGGAATGTAAACAGTTCCACTTTAATAAGCCCCTTACAATTTCTCTTTCCTGTTTACCTCTTCATGTTTCTCTTGAGTCTTGTATTTGAAAGTCAAATTTTCTATTCTGCTCTGGTCTTTTAATCAAGAATGCTTGAAAGTCCTCTATTTCACTGAATATCCATTTTTCCCCTTGAAGGATTATACTCAGTTTTCCTGGGTAGGAAAACTACCTTTGCCCTCTAGAATATTATATTCCAAGCCCTCTGGTCCCTTAATGTAGAAGCTGCTAAATCCTGTGTTATCCTGATTGTGTTTCCACAATACTAGAATTGTTTCTTTTTGGCTGCTTGCAATGTTTTCTCCTTGACCTGGGAACTCTGGAATTTGGCTATAATATTGCTAGGAGTTTTCCTTTGGGGATCTCTTTCAATTTCTATTTTGCCCTCTGATTCTAGAATATCAGGGCAGTTTTTCTTGATAATTTCTTGAAAGATGATGTCTAGGCTCTTTTTTTGATCATGACTTTCAGGTAGTCCAATAATTTTTAAATTATATCTCCTGGTTCTATTTACCAAGAGTGTTGTTTTTCCAATGAGATATTTCACATTGTTTTCTATTTTTTCATTCTTTTGGTTTTGTTTTATAATTTCTTGATTTCTCATAAAGTCACTAGGTTCCAATTGCTCCATTCTAATTTTTAATGAAGTATTTTCTTTAGTGAGCTTTTGGACTTCCTTTTCTCTCTCCCATGAGCACTCTGGAAAGTGTTTCTATACAATTTTTGGTATTTCTTAAAGCCATTTCTATTTCTGGATTTGATCTCATTGAAAAAAAAGCTTATGGATCATAAGTGCTTTGTGATGCATATATCAATATATTAATTCCACATAGGAACATGTAAAGACAGCTACATAGTGCTGTGGGTAGAGCATCAGGTTTGGAGTCAGGAAGATCTAAGTTCAAATTTGACTTCAGACATGTAATAGCTGCGTAACTCTGGTCAAGTCACTTGACCCTGTTTGTCTCAGTTTCTTCATTTTACAGATGAATGAACTAGAAAATGACAGGCAAACCACTCTAATATCTTTGCCAAGAAAACCCTAAATGGGGTCATGAAGAGTTGGACACAACTGAAACAACAGGGAAGTGTAATGGAGGATGTTAATGACTAGCTGGAAAGACACAGAATTTAGATGGAACAGAGATCCTTAGGTAAAAAGAGAGGATTTCATCTTGGCTTGGGTTTTATTAATAACCTTACAGAAAAAAAATGACCGATATGATAATTTCACCCCTAGAATACTGTAGTCATTGTTGAACCCAAATCAGGAGACTAGTACATATGTAGGTGAATCAAGGAAGCTCTAGCCTCCAACTCAAAAGAAGTAGACTAGGGGCATGCACCAAGAGGGAAGGTCCTGGGCCACCCATGAGGAGAAGAAAAGTGTGATCTAGAAAGAATCTCTCCTACCAACTTAACCAGTAGGAGAAGGGAGTCAAGGGGCAGCTAGGTGGTGCAGTGGATGGAGCACTGGCCTTGGAGTTGGGAGGACCTGAGTTCAAATCTGGGCTCAGACCAAATACTTGACACTTACTAGCTGTGTGACCCTGAGGAGGTCACTTAACCCCTATTGCCTAAAAATGAAAAAAAAATTAAAGGAAAAGAAAGAAGGGAATCAGGCTCTACCACAAACCTCTAAACTTCTCTAAATAACAACTTACTGGTTACAATAGGATCAAAGGATCAGGGCTTTAAAGATAGAAGAGACTTCAGAGACTATCTAAAGAGATTCAGTATTTTTAATATTTAAAATACAATAACGTTGAATGAGCTTTTGAAACTTTTAAATTAGGACTCTGAAGACTATATTCTAAGCTCTTCACCTCAACAGACTTGCAAAACTTTGTATAAATGACTAGTTTTAGACTTAAGGTGTTTTCATTGTCACCAAGACAAGGAATGTTCCCACATAAAACATTTAGTAGAGGACATTTACTTACCTTTTTACTGCTTCTTCTGTTACATTTATATTTTGGACAATTATATTATTTTTCTCAATCCAGTTTTTGTGATCAATTTCAAGTTCTTTAACTTGAAGAAACACGCTCACATTCCAATAATTTAGCTTGTAGAACAAATTCTTTTTAATCCTGCAGGAATATTGCTGTGATTAATCAACATCATCAGAAACATTTATCTTTAACCTTTGCATAGGTTTATTTTTTTCTTCATTCTCTGTGATCATAGAATCTTTCTTCCACTCCTACCACCTAAATGGACCTCAAAGATACTTCTGACTAGGAAAGAGGGATGATTTTTTTAATCTTTTTTCTCTCCCAAAATATTTAATTACCATTTTATTTTACTTTATTTTATTTGGTAATTGGGGTTAAGTGACTTGCCCATGGTCACACAGCCGGTGTCAAGTGTTTGGTCTGAGGCTGGATTTGAACTCAGGTCCTCCTGACTTCAGGGCCAGTGCTTTATCCACTGTGCCACCTAGCTGCCCCCTAATTACCATTTAAAAAGACTCAATGAAACCATTTCTATTTTTCAAAACATTATGCAAATAATTTTCCTGACCTGATTTTTTTAAATTTCAGAAGGCCTAGAGATCATTTCAGTGAATGTCCTGTTGGTTGAGCTATGAGTTTATATAATATTCTGGAAAACAATTTGAAACCATATTAGAATAATCACTAAAGAATTCATATCCTTGGGCCCCTTAGGTGTCCAAAGAGGTGTAGGACAGAGGCAAAGATTCCATATATGTCAAAATACTTACAGCAGCACTTTCTGTGATAGCAAAAAAAAAAAAACCAAAAAGTTAGAAACACAGTAGGTTCCCATAAAATGGGGAAATAGCTTGACAAAATTATGGCATATAAATGTAATGAAATATTACATCATGAAAAATTACTACTATCAAGATTTCACAGAAACTTGGGAAAATATATATGATGTCATCAGAGCAAAGAACAAACGTAGGAGAATAATTTACAAAGCGGATATAATAATGCCTAGGTAAATATGACTAAAGTACATGAAATAACTAATATTGACTTCAAAAGACAGGTAGTAAAACATACTTCTCTCCTCTGAACAAAGAGGTAGAATAAAGTACATGTTGTTAGACATGGCCAAGGTATTGGTTTGTTTTGCTTAACAATATTTCTTTGCTTTGGTGGAGGGTACTATCAGAGGTGACGTCAGCAAAAAAAATCAGAAAGCCTTCAATTAAACTTCAAAAAAAGGAGAGAGATTCTAGTGGGGAGGGGATGCTGTTGGCTGTGGGCACTTATAGGAGGGCTGATTTCTTGGTTCTGGTTCCATGCCAGAGGGGAGAACTGAAGGTTACAGCCACTGGAGGGTCCTCAGGGAGCCTGGGGGTGCTAGCTGTGGCTTGGAGGGGGAAAGGAGTGCAGAGGTTACGCCCTAGAGAAAGCTCAAAAAATAACAGTAAGAAGGACTTGAGGCCAGAGGCACCATCTTCCACACCCCAGGACTACAAGGGATTATAATAACAAGCTGCTAAAAATAAAAAACAAAAACAAAACAAAAATGAGCAAGCAAAGGAAAAAGAACTCAACAATAGACAGTCACAATGGGAATAGAGAAGACCTAGGTTTGTCTTCAGAGGGGGATACTGAAGCAAAAAAAAAAAAAGCCTGTCCTACCTCACAGAGGAACATCAAATAGTCACCTGCCCAAAAAAGAATTCTTAGAAGAATTCAAAAAAGACTTTAAAAATCAACTAAGAGAGGGGGCAGCTAGGTGGCACAGTGAATAGAGCACAGGCCCTGGAGTCAGGAGGACCTGGGTTCCAATCTGTTCTCAGGCCAGACACTTGATATTCACTAGCTGTGCGACCCTGGGCAACTCACTCAACCCTCAATTGCCTCATCAGAAAACAAACAAATGAAGAATCAAAGAAGAGAGATTGAGGAAAAAAAATTTTAAAAAGAATAATCCAGGAAAATCAAGAAGATTATGAAAAGAAAGTCAACCAAGTAGAAAAGAAGATCCAGAATCTTAAGAAAACAACTCTTTGAAAACTAGAACTAGGCAAGGGGAAGCCAACAACATCATAAGACACCAACAAATAATAAAACAAAAGGAAAAGAATGAAAAAACAGAAGAGAGTGTGAAACATCTCACAAGAAAACAACTCATCTGGAGGAAAGAGAAGAAAAGAAAACATAATAATTGGACTACCTGAAAGTTATGAGCAAAAAAAGAATCTTGATACAATAATACAAGAAATCATCCAGGAAAATTGCCCTGAAGTTTTAGAACAAGAGGGGAAAACAGAAATAGAAAAAGTACACTGATCACCAATTGAAAGAGATTCCAGGATGAAAACCTACAGGAGTATCACAGCCAAATTCTGAAACCCCTAGGTTAAGGAGAAAATATTATGAGCAAATAGAAAAAAAACAATTCAAGTACTGTGGAGCCACAATTAGAATTACACAAGACCCAGTAGTGGTTACACTAAAAGACTGCAGGTTTTTGAACACTATATATTGATGAACAAAAGAACTGGGGTTGCAGTAAAAAATATCATACCCAGTAAAGCATAATCCTGAATGGAAAAAAATGGACATTCAATGAACTGACAGACTTTCAGGATTTGGTCACAAAAAGACCTAAAAGCAATAGAAAATTTGACATACAGGATCCAGGAGAAAGGTAAGGTAAATATCAAAGACCAATTACAAGGGACTCAATAAGGACAAATTGTTTATTTCTTATACATGGAAATGTAAACCATGTGCCTGATTGTCATTAGTAAATGGGTAGTTTGAGAGAAAGATTGGGGTAGAGGTGAGTATGCTATGTTTCTAAAAAACAAAATTGTGCAGGAAAAGGTAAAAAGAGTGATTACCTCATACAAATGAGGCATGAAAAGAACTGATACAGAGGAATCAGACAGGGGAGGAGGGCTAGTAGTGCTGGAATCCTACTCACATCAGATATGGGTTGAAGAAAGACCAACACGTACATTTAGAAGGGTATTAAAAATCTTCTAAATTTATAAAGAAATAAAAGGGTGAAGAAACAGGATAAAGTGGGGTAGAAAAGGGTATGTAGATTAACAGGAATGGGTTAAAGAGGGAATAAAGTATATGTAGAAAGGCATAAAAGTCTTCTAAATTCAGAAAGAAACAAGACGGCAATGGGATGGGATAGGGGAAGAGAATAAGGGAGAGATTCTAGGGGAGTTAGGTTAAGGAATGGAAGGGCAGGGTAGCAGGTAGACGTAAATCAGATGGATAGGAGTAGGGTGAGAAGGAAAGGGAGGAAAAATAGGAAGGAGGAAAATATACAACAAATAATTATAGCTTAGAATGTGAATAGGATAAATTTACACGCAAAATGGAAACTGAAAGCAGATAACAAATTTGAATTCAACTATATGTTGCTTTTGGGAAATGCTACAAAAATGAGAGATACATGCAAATATAAAATAAAGGTCAGGAGTAGAATTTATTGCATAAAAAAGTAGGGAGAGTAGTCATGATCTCAGACAAAGTTAAAGCTAAAATAGATTTAGTCAAAAGAGAAAAATAGAGAAACTATAGTATGTGTGAACCATATTATTCAATATTGTTTTAGACCATTTCAAATAACTGGACACCATAAAATATCTGAGAATATACCTGCCAAAACAGACATAGGAACTATACCAGTATAAACACAAAACACTTTTTATACAAATAGTTAGATCTAATTAAAATGAACTAATGTTTTTGGGGCAGGTAAAGCCAATATAATAAAAAAAATTATAATTTTACCCAACTAATCTATTTATGTAATGCCATCCCAGTTAAATTACTAAAAAAATTATCGTACTGAGTTAGAAAAAATAATAACAAAGTTCATTTGGAAGAACAAAAGGTCAGGAATTTCAAAGAAACCAAGGGAAAAAGATGTAAAAAGAAGGGGATTCAGTAGTATTAGACCTTAAACCATATTATAAGGTGAGAGCATTGTGAAAGTAGAAAATGGATAATTTTGATTATTTTACATTAAAATGTTCTTGTATAAATAAAACTTATGCAGCCAAGAATAAAAGGAATGCAGAAAATTGGGGGAAAAACACTTTCCTAGACAATCTCTCAGATTGAATGTGACTGGGTTAGAATTGCTATAGTGTAGGAAATTATCAGCTGGTTGATTTAGAAAAACATGGAAAGACTTGGATTTATGAAAGAAGAGGCTATTCACATTCAGAGATACAGATGACAGGTGGAAATAAGCATATGTGAATATATGTGTATGTTTATAGGTATCTATATATGTGTGCATGTATACACATATACACACACATATATATGTGTATATATGCTTAATTGTAGTCTTCTTTGGTGGGGGAGGGGAGAAAACAAAAAGTGCATAGCAGAGAACAAAAGAAAACCTACAAAGAAGCAAAGAAAAGCTGGACAGCTTTGAAAACAATGTGTAGTATTTATTACATAGATTTTCTTGAAATGGAAATTTATTGCTTTATATTGAATCCTCTCTTATGTTCTCCTCTGTATGTGGCAATTTTTTTCTTTTCTTCTTTTGCAGGTAAGTTTAAAATAAAATTAAAAATAAAGGGGATTCTATTAATGATAATTTTGTAAATTCTACAAAAAACTAATTCCACAAAAAAATTTGTAAATTTTGTCTCTAATCAAAACTTTCAAAAGAGTGTCTACCACTCTCCAAATGTCTTTGCCATACACTCTGAGGAAAGGGGTGGGGAGGGGCTCCTTTAATGCTCCTTAATCCCAAACCACTTGTAGGATTTTCTTGAGTAGTACATGAATGCTATCTTTCTTTCTTTTTTTTTCTTTTGCTTCACAAATGTCAATTTTATTGACACCAGTGCATAACTGAATACAATGGTAGCAAAAGTGTTGAAACTCATCAGGTAGAAATGGTGAAACCAATTTAAAAGGCAATTTTTAAAAGAAGTACTACACTCCTCTCTATAAATCGTGTAAGAAAAAGCATTATTACTCTAGATCTGATTTACAAGAGAAATTCTGGTATTTCCTCTGATATCAAAGATTACAAATCCTTCAAGCACAGTTGAAAAGCAGGTTTCATTTGTTGATGTTTAATAATAAGCTTATAATAAACCATTAAAAATTATAAGGAGCTACAAAAATCTAAATCAGTACCTATATTTCATATAGGATAGTATACATATATGCATATGCATATATATATGTATATATATATATATATATATATATATATATATATATTTCTAAATGACATGTTATTTAGAAATTTATTTAGAGAGTGAAGATCGTGGTTCACCACAACATGTGTACCATGAACTGAACTGGTGAGAGGGAAAGGATTTTTCTCCTCATGATCCTTTTACCCTGGCTCCAAGAAATGGGTCTAGGGATGTTTGTCTCCGTTCTCTGTTGCTTTTCCTCAGTTTCAAGTTCTGTAAGCAATCCCCACAGACCCAGGAGTTTGAGCCATGGTGATGACCTTGGAGTCCAGATGGCAGCCAACTAACTAGCAAGGAAATCCCAGATGAACCAGGGTGCTTGGGACGTGAGCCCTAGGCAAGTTTTAGGTATTAAACTGGGACTAGGAACCAACTTAAGCTATAAACCTAATCCCCTTCCTCTCTCAAGAGACTGAGGTGTTTTAAGGGAGGAGAGGGTATTATGCCTCCCATGTATTAGGAGAGTAAATTTGTATATTTGTGATTAAACCTTCTGAAATAAATATTTCTATGTAAAAGCCAAAAAACAAGCAAACAATGCTTTAAGTAATCATGAGTTGACAACCTTGGTTGTGATTGTTTTAATCAGACCATAATTACCCAGGACACATGTAGGCTGACCTACAGCTCTTAGATGGTCCCTTGGAATAAGAAGAGGTTCATATTCTGATGAGATGAGTTTTAAAGTGTATCAGATGAAACAACAAGCAGTTATGTAATGGATTTGTATTCATGACCGTTCATTTTTGTTCCCTGGTGTCTTGTGTCAGATAGGACAAGTACAGTAAGTACAGCAAGACAACTAGTGAGAATGGGGATTGGGCAAAAAGGAAAGCAACTGGTTGTTGGACCATGCCCAGCAAACAAGCATGATGAAAATACCTCATTTGTTGGGAGGGGGAAAATAATGGTGAAAAGATTTTCTCACACAGAGGTACATGCTGACATGACTACTATTTTTCAAAGTTAAAAGTTCTCCTAGATTTTAAATGCTGTTTTTTTCCTAAGTTTAGATCTAAACCATAATACCCAATTTTTTCCATGTAATTTTTCTACATAATTATGTTCTCTGTGCTCCAAAAAATTTTTCAAGTATTCTGCTACATTTGTTAAGACTTACTGGTCCAGTTTATAAGAGAGAGGTTCCTCCTCTGACAGGAATAAAGAAGATGCAGGTGGTGGAGTAGGTTTAGCATCATTTGACTTTGGCCAATTGTGTTGGTTTGGATGAAACCCATTCTTCTCAGCATTCATATCCAACTTTTCCTGGCACCGATTCAGAAAAGAATTGCACAGGACAGAAATTAGGCCTGTCAAACTTCGTGACTATTAGGATGACTACACAGTATGCTTCCTAAAGTTGCGCACTATACAAATATAACATTTTAAGATAAACCTATAGTTCCAGTATAGAGAGGAATTATATGGTTATCTGGGAAATGGGACGGACTAAAGAAGGGATGACCAAAAATATATATATATAATTATCAAAGAATTATAGACATTGTTATGAGAAAAATTCAGAGAGAGAGGAACTGACCATAAAGTATAACATTAAAACTTAACACTCACAGGATGATAAGGATGATTGCCCCCACATTATGATAGGATTCTTGAGGTGATGAGGGCCTTTTTTTAGGTGGAACAGAGAGAGGGCACAGGAGAGGGCTGAATGGCATGATGTCTACATGCATCATGGTGTAGATGAATGGTATTAGAGGTCCTGTGTTCTATCTAGGAAGTTGAATCAGCTTATCATCACATAGTACTTCCTGTCTGTGTTTCCTCAGGCTAATGCCTGAGTCCTCTAGGACAAAAACTTTTTAGGCAAACCTTTGAAATTCTCATTCAATCTCTATATTACCTTTACAAACACAGCCTTCTACAGGTAGACGACATGACTAAAATTCAGTTTCAAGGGTAAAGGTTAACAATCCCAACCTTCCTTTATGCAGGATCAGCTAAGTAATTCTCAGTTTCACAGACTGAAATGAGACCAGACACATTTCTTTCTGATGGAATCCATAGGGGAAAAAAAAATCAAGAGAAAGGGGACAAATGGGAAGGAACTAGACCACCCGTAATTTGAGAAGTCATATAAGTCATGCTCATTTCTTAAATACCAAGAAAACAGGATCATATATAACATACTCATTTTAAGTTGAGAAGTCAAGTCTGCCCATTGCAAAGCAAGTCCAGGACAGAACCCAAGCATCTTGCCTCATAACTCTAAGCACTAAATCTCCTCTATCAGGAAACCCCTTCTGACATTTTCCCCCCATGTTGTAGAGGGTATGAACCAAGAGGAAGATTGGGCCATAAAACCCAATAATTTTAGAACTTTGTTTATACTTCTCTGTGGAAGGTTTGGACATTCTCATTAATATCTCAATGACATAACTGAGGACACCTTCCTGATGGCATTTGTACAGTGCCTAGGACTGTTGCCTCTTAATGAACAATTTAGTTAGATCTGATAGTGGGAATAATGAATCCCATGAAGTAGTTGCATTATTCAAATTCTTCACTGCGTATTTCTGTTGGGCTAAAACCAATTACTATATTTTCAATAATTATAACTTCCAATAGAGTGGATTCCCTTTCACTGGATTCAATATTACCTGTCTCATTAAGTATTAGTGATTAAGTCTTAGCATTAGAGATGATTTGATTAGCTCAGTTTACTTTGGATTAGAACTATGCCTTTGTACTGGGCTTATAAAAGGGGGATGGGCCTAAGGTCAGTTGGGAAGAGACCCAGACACTATATGGTAAAGGTAAAGCCCAAAGTTGCCCTTGTGCTTAGCCACCAAGAAGCTTCTACTTCAGTCTCCAAAATGACAGCTTTGGCAACTTTCTGGCCTAAGAGATGGTAACTACAGAGAGATGAAGCCTCTGGCTGAGAGGTGAGAGTTCCTAGACTAAGGATTGAACATGTGGCCCCTGAACTTAGAGATGCAGTGAATCACTGAGCTACCATTGAGAAGAGCTCAACACCAGGAGTTTGCCCTTGACTATTACCATGAGTTATTCAGGTAATGAAAGCTCAGTAGTGCTGCTTTTTAGCAACCTCAAGTTTATTTCCCTTGGGAGTGAGTCCTGAGAAGGTCTAGATAGGTCTCTGGTTTAGAAAGTGGGATTCACTGGAATGTGAGAGGTTGACTCTCTAAATAACCCTAAACTCATTTCCCTTTTTAGCTGAGGCCAAATCTTTAGGGTAGTACGATAAGGCTTGAGGTCTGTATGAGTCCCTGAGGTAGAATGTGGGACTCATTGGAGGAGAGAGGAGTTTCTTGACTGCTACAGGCTCCCGTGAGACCATAAGTGTTTTTCTGTATTATTTATGGGCTTCTATAAGTCTTTTATGTTTTCTATAATGTTTGAGAGGTGAAGTAAAGGCTGACTCATACCCAATATTGTTAGCTTGAGCTCTGGCATGGACCTGGTGTCCTTTTTTTATTTTTGGCTAGGCAATGGGGTTAAGTGACGTGCCCAAGGTCACACAGCTAGTAAGTGTCATTGTGTCCGAGGCCGGATTTGAACTCAGGTCCTCCTGACTCTAGGGCCGGTGCTCTATCCACTGTGCCACCTAGCTGCCCCTACCTGGTGTCCTTTTAACCAACATCTGTGGAGACCTAGAGGTTCACTGCATTCACTGCATAGAGGTTCCCAGAGAAAATTCTGGGAGGGGGCACAATGAGCCAAACTCTTATTATTTGGAGGGCAATCTCCCAAGAGTGGCCACAGTCTAAAACCAGAGCTTGTAGCTTCTGGATCACTATTCATTGTTCTGGATTTTGTTGTTCTTATCATTAGAGAAATGCTGTTACAAGTAGTTGAATCCCCCAACTTTTTTCCCCTCATGTATTTGTAAGCAAAGTGAAATTTAATAGCCCTTAACGTCCTTGGAATACATTACCCATTTTTTGGCCTCCGGTTTTAGATGTGTTTCATTTCCAGACAGACTTCTCTCGTCATCGTCTGAGTTTTCTATAAGGTCCTTTATTTTGGTCATTTCGCTTAATAAACTGCAAGACAAACATGGCTAAATTAGTATCTACTACATGCAAAGACCCTGTGGCTAGGTACTAGGGGAGGTACAAAAAAACTAACAAGATACAGTCTCTGCTCCTGGCTGGACTCACTCTCTGGACTTCTCTTTGCTCATTAGAATGTAATCTCCTTGAGAGTGGGAACTGTTTTGTTTGCCTGTACTTGTACCTTCAGTGCTAAGCATATTTTGAGCATTTAATTATACCAAAGCTCTCTTCCCTGTCATCCCTCACCTTTTTCCCTCCTTTGGTGAAATGCGGAGGACCACAAAGGGATGGAGACATCCTTCCTCTGCCCTGGGGGCCCCATTACCTGCTGAGGGTCCTGGTCCTGTCACCTTAATGGCCCTCCTTCTGGGCCCAGTTTCCCCAGTAATTCCATCGTACACACAGAACGGACTGCCAGTTTCCATCAATAAATATTTATTCAGCATCTACTATATGCCAGAGCTGTGGCCTGCCACTGTGCTAAGTGCTAGGGATACTACATGAGGCAAAAGATACTCTTGGTCCTCAAATAGCTCAAGTTTGCAGCCAGGCTGAGAAGAGTAGTAATGTCCTAAAGTGCAGGACGTGGGCAGTGAGGATACTGGTCTCTGAGTATCCCTGAAACTCTGCTTCTCCCTTCAATCATGAATTTGCCCCAGGGGCCAAATTTCCAGTTAGCACCCTGGGCCAGCCCTACTTACCCCTGCATTATAGATTCTGCACAATAGATTTTTTTGAGAAAGTTGTTATTTTTCTTAGTCCATTGTTGGAGTTCATCTCCAACTATTGCCATTTGTAGCATCATTATTTCATTAAGATTCCTCAGCTTGAGAAATAAATCTTCAGCCCTGCAGGAACATTATATAATACTACTATCAGTCTCAAAGGAATAATAAAAGGGGCTCAGCTGTGCTAACTTGAGATTTCTTTCCCTGGTTTCTCCTATTCAGCGGTTCTTAATTAAAAAGATTAATTAAAATTAGTTTTTCAAAAATGTCCCTCTGGACTCCTTTGATAGCCAGGTGAAACCTAGGGACCCCTCAGAATGATGCATAAAATAAAATGTATATATAGGATTACAAAAGAAACCAATTACAGTGAAATAAAGTTATCTAAATAATTTTTGAAGTTCATGGATATCAGCTTAAGAACCTATCTAATTAGTACTAACTAGCTACTGTACTGCTAAGGTTCTGAAGATCTTAGGAGTCAAATATTTTGAATGACAGCTAAGCATCTTGGGATCTGGAGTTATTACTGATCTTCCTGGCCAAGAAATATCATCAGGCTTCAAATAAGCTGTGCAAAATTTTGAGAAAAGCCCATAAAAGTTGGAGCTGGGGGAGAGAAGTAGAGAGAAGGGAGAGTTAGTAGATAGATGGCATGCTTCTACCTTGTAGAAGCCAGGAGCAGGAGACAGGATTTTGAAGCAACTCATACAAAGCCAGTGCTGATGGTGAGAGGGATTGGACATCCAAAGATCACCAGAGTCACTCTGAGCCATCTCCAGTCATCCTGATCTATATCTTGCCACTGGACCCAGATGGCTCAGGAGGAGAAAGTGAAGCTAGTGACTTTGCACAGCACTGGGTCACTTAAATCCCATTCACTTGCAAGTCATATCTGTCCATCCATAGTGGTCTGTTCCATCAGCTGTGAACCCATGTGGCTGAGGGCCATCTCCTTTCTATTACCCTATTCCTCTCCATTCTTTAGGATGGAAATTTGAAAGCAATGTTTCATGCATCCCCTTTAAATTGCTATCAATAGTGTTAAGCCTAGTTTCTCTGGATTAAGAGATCGATCTTTGTCCTTTGCATATGCCCTTATTTATTTGCTTGAGTGTGCAGGTAGGGTGGCTCTAAGGTTTTGTGTCTTTTAAATCTCATATAAACTGTATGTAAAACTGGGTCTTTCAATATGGTTTGATGGTTTAAAATTCATTTAGGAGCAGATGAAACCAATATTGATTCAATTTAACCTTTATTAACAATCACTGAATCTCACAACTGGCAGGGAATCTGAAAATGAAGTATGGGCTTTTCTTTTTCTATAGTCAAGAGCCTGTGTTACAGTGCTGGATGAGATATGGGTGCTCGAGGCTAAGCACTTCTCTCCTCAATCTCAAGAGAAAGAGTTGAAGGGAGATGGAAATAAAAAAGGAGGGCTAGAAGAGGAAGTCCCATCTTTATTCAGCCCTTGAAATAGGGTAGTTGGTGAGGATTTAGATTACACCCTTTTCTGGTGAGTGGGGGAATGGAGAAGACAGATGGCTGGCCACCTTGATGACGCTTAGCAATTATAATTGGGAACTGAATTCTGGGCTTTTAAATTTTTTTTAAATTCTGAATTTTTCTCTTCCTTCCCAGGAATTGCTATCCACCATTCCAACTTTGCTTTTTTGTGCTTTTAAAAGCATTATTTTTAAAAAAATTATTGTTCAAGTGTTCATAATTTGAATTTTTTTGGAATTTTCCATTTTGATATTTCTGTTACAAAATATAAGTTTTATTTTGTATAAAGTTCATATATATATAAAGTTGTATTTTACAGCTTGCACTTGAAGTTGAATTTAGCCTGATATATTCATTACTTTTGAAGGAGGTAGTTGTATGTTAAATTTAATTTTAATTTTGTATCTTATTGAGTTTTTCCTTAAATTTTGAAATACAATTTTCTTTTGAAACATACTTTACTGATAGCAATGGTATTTTATTTTCTACTCTACCACTGAAGTTATCATTCAGATTGTCTGCTCTGTTTTGAATTTCATCGTGTTTTGTGAAGCTATTTTTTTTATCTCCATTTTGTTTTTGATTTTGGAATTGTGTTCATATTTTTTGAGTTAACTTCACTGAGCTGAACCCTTTACACTATTCAATCATATTTGACTATTAATGCTCATTATATGATGTTGCCTAAGGGAATACCAATTGTTTTATAACTGCCATCTTAGCATAGTTTTTTGCTTCCTACTTGTCAGGAACTTTGCTGATAATTATGGTTGAAACTGTTATCATTTCTAATTTGGATTGTTAGAGTTGACCAAATTGTTTAATTGGCATAGCACTTTTTAGTGAATGGGTAAATATTGTCATTGGACTGAGCTGGAAATTAATTAAATAATATATAAATGTATATTTAATATATAAGAATAGACTCCTTTATACATCAGAAAGTAGTTTCAGGATTTCCTGAAGATATTATTGGTGTCAATAAGGCAATGAACATTTTGGCTCTAGTTTTGTCTGATAGCTATAAATAGAGTATCAGCTCTAATAAGAACCAATGCTAGTCTTATCAGGATGTTAGAAAAATACCATCAAAATATCCTGGGACTTAATACATGCCCAATTTGACCATTTAAGCAACTTGTACAGAAGCATACAGGCAGGAGTGTATTAGAATCAGTTCAAACCAGCTCAAGAGAGCCAGTCGCTAAATTTTCAGTGTTTGCATTTATATCTTGGAAATTGGCAAATACCACGAATCAGGGATTGACTTATTGTTTTGTTGATTGTCGAGACTTAAGAAATTGATGGAGAAAATATTTAATGGGATTAAACTTAAAATACATCAAAGAATATTTTTCTTCCAGGACAGTCAGTTGTGCAATATTTCCCAGCACACCTTTGCACACAAGAGAATAGAATATCTGTTGCAGGGACCATCGTAAGAGCTATAGCTCTTCAACCAATGAAGTAAATCCAGAGATATTTGACTTTGGGGATTCCCTGGTACCAGAGCAATGGAAGGAACAATTTAGACAGGAGCTCAGCAAGGGGCTATTATATGTGTGGGATGTGGGAAACCAACTTACTCCTCTCTCTTTCCATCTCCTTCCAGTTCCAAATTTCACGGGCTTCTCTCAAAATTCTGTGTAACTCAGACCAAACCCTGCTATCCTTCTTTGTCTAGGAAGATCAGCAAAAATGTCAAATTCCAAGATGTTTAAATATTGCTCAAAGTATTTTGCCTTGTTAGGTTCAGCACCAGCTGAAGTCCTAGGGCTGGGAATGAGGTTGTGTTAGTTTTGTTACCCTATATGATAGAAACTAAGGGAAAAGCCATTTATCCCACCTTTCCTGGACAAGAATTACCGCTATAATATACCTAACAAATGGTCATCTGATTGAGTTTTAACTTGAATACCTCTATTGAGGGGAAGGCCCACATCCTCTAGAGCCAGCCTATGTCACTTTGGGATAGTTCTATTTTTCTTTACAATCAGGATTCAATTTGCTTCTTTTCTTTCTTTTTCTAAATTTATTTTATTCTGAACTTTAGAAATAAGAAGCATGTCTATAACAGTAGAATAGAAAAAAAGATGATTGTACATGAAACTGAAAATCTATTATGTACAACTTGCTATTCCTTTTAAATGTATAATACTTCATGTGTAACTTTTTTTTTTAAAGGGGATTTTTAAAAAAAAAAATTACTTCCACCCATTGCTCCTCGTTCACAATTTTGGGAACAAGAAAAACAAGTCATCCCTTTCTTCCAATTGCTAAACTGTTAAATACTGAAGATGGCTACCACATTTCTTCCCCTACACTGGCCCAAGTCTTCTCTTCCCCAGGTCAAATATCTCCAATTCCTTAAACCAAATATTATGTGACATGACCTTTTGTTTGTTTTCATTTTTTAAATTTTATTTTTATTTTCAGTTCTAAATCCTCTCTTTCCACTGCCACCCCTCCCCACCCACTGGGAAGGCAAGAAATGTGATACCCATTATACATATAAAATCACACGAAACATATTTTTGCATTAGCTATGCTCGGGGGGGGGAAGGAAAGAAAAATAACGGGGTAATAATTCTTCAATCTGTACTGAATCTATCAGTTCTCTTTCTGAAGGTGGATAGTATTTCATATCATGAATCCTTTGGAATTGCCCTGGATCATGGTATTGATTAGAGTAGCTAAGACTTTCACAGTTGATCATTGTTACAATCATTGCTGTTACTGTGTACAATGTTTTCCTGATTCTGCTCTCTTTACTTTGTATCAGTTCATATAAGTCTTCCCTGGTTTTTCTGAAACCATCCCCCTCATTATTTCTGATAACACAATAGTATCCCATCACAATTATATACCCCAACTTGTTCAAGCCATTCCCCAATTGTGGGACATCACCTCAATTTCCAAACTTTTTGCCACCATACACACACACACAAAAGCTGCTATAAATGTTTTATACACATGGGTCCTTTCCCTTTGATCTCTTTGGAGTATAGAACTAGAAGTGGTATTGATGGCTCAAAGGTTATGCACTGTTTTATAGCCTTTGGGCATAGTTCCAAATTGTTCTCTAGAATGGTTGGATTAGTTCAGAGTTCCACCAGCAGTACATTAGTGTCCGTATTTTCCCATATCACCTCCAGCATTTGTCACTTTTTTTTTCTGTAATCTAGCCAATCTGATGGGTGTGAGGTGGTACTTCAGAATTGTTTTGAATAACAATTCTCTAATTATTAATGATTTAGGGTTTTTTATATGACTTTTGATAGTTTTGATTTCTTTTTCTGAAAACTGCCTGTTCAAATCTTTTGACTATTAATCAATCAGGGAGTGGCTCCTATTTTTTAAAAATTTGGTTCAGTTCTCTACATATTTGAGAAATGAGACCTTATCAGAGAAAATTGCTGCAAAAATTTCCCCCACTTTCTTGCTTTTATTCTAATTTTGGCTGTTTTTGTTTTGTTTGTGAAAACCTTTCCAATTTTATATTTTCAGAAGTATCCATCTCACCCCCATGGACCTCCCTATCTCTTGTTTGATCATGAACTCTACCCCATCCATAGATTTCACAGGCAATTTCTTCCATACTCCCCTAATTGTTT